TTTTATAATTAAATTTATTTAAAGCATAAATATAAAACTATTTTGCGCCCAGAAAATGACAACTAGCTTAGCATTTAGATCATAGCTTGTGTATAAAAGGTAGTAAGCAATGTAAAGGAAATAAATAATATTGACAATTTTAATAGCATATTTAAGGAATGTTTTTGTGATAGTGCCCGTGGGAAAAGACAAGAACGTATTTGAACTTAGTCTGTTGTTGAGTGAAAGAACGTGTGGGTGTCGTGTATAGGTGATGCGCATGAGCTTTGAGCGTAGGGATTAGCGTACTACATTGTCTGCGGTGTAGTATGAAAAAGAACAAGTTTCTTGAAATTCGCCCTATGCATGTTCCTAGTTTTTATTTTATGCATGGCCAAAACTGAGAAGAGGCTTTTAACGCATGCGCGTCTGACCAAACTGAATGTAACGGCCGCTACGCTATAAATGTATATTGTCATGGCGTGGTGACATATAACCGTCAATGGCAATCTCTGAAGAATATGATGGAACAGAATTATTTAGTGAGGAGAAATATATATGTCACTGAAGAAGCTCTTGAAAACAACGGGAAGGAGATGCAATGAAATTATGCCAGTAGATTATAGTATAAATACAGAACTAAAAGGTTGATATCATCAATGGGCGAGAGAGTACATTTACAAACAAGTCTTTAAAAAAAAACAACTGGATAATAATGAATGCAATTACTAGTTAAGTTTCCTCTCATTTATTCGGCTGTCCAAAAACAAATTATGATTTGGGGGGAAGGGATTATTTCTATTCAAGATCTGTATTCTTTTAACAGTTAATATTATTAACCAAACGTGTAAACTACTTTCAGGCAAATTATCCGGTAATCTCCTTCCTGGACTCCAACTTTTAGGGTTGTCTTTACTCATAGATAACTGTACGGACATTTCGCTACGTACAGTTTTCAAAGTTCGCCTGATACCTTCCGACTGATGTTGGCTCTTTTTAACGAAATTGACCGAATTGCCTCTACTTTTTTTCCCGCTGGTTATTACTACTTTTTTTCTATGAGATTTCCTTTGGTTCAATCATCTCGTGTTTCTAGTTTCTATCGAATTAGTTGCTTACTTGCTTTTGTTTAGCGGTATATCGAACATTATTTAATGCCGAAATCTAAATATTTTGTACACAATTTTTTTTTTAATTTTATTTTGAAGATGATGTTTAGTGATACAAGTCTTAATAATTAACCCATAGCTGGGGGAAGAAGAGGTGGATTCATACCTTTTCCAAAGGAGATATTATGAAATGGACAAAGTCCGACAATTATTTTAATATATTTTCTGTTTATACGTCATTTTTATAGATACAATTATTTAAGTAAATGCTCAGTTTATAATAAACAGTATTAACTACATTTACCGACGTGAATGTCCGCGAAATATCGTAGGAAATATGTGTCCTCCGACAGGAGTCGAACCTGTATCTTGCACGAAACCATCATTTGACATGACGTGCTATAGCATTTAGCTACAGAGGTTAGAATATTTGTATCTATAAAAATAACGTATATACATCAACCGTTGGATGACAGTTTCATCCTCAAGTGATGTTTGGAATAACTCACCAAAGAAATGTTTTACTCATTTATAGTTTTCAAATGGAGGTGTAATCTGGAGTTTGGTTTTCATTATCAAAGTTTTCAGCTTTGAGAAAAACAATATATATATATATATATATATATATATATATATATATATATATATATATATATATATATTTTTTGAATTTTAATGTAACTATAACAGCAAAAACATTTCGATTTCATTTTTTTGCCTTGAAAAAGTCGGAAGACGAAACGCGTCGGCAAAATGTATGATTTTTTTCCAATTGTCATTTGATACCAATCTGTCTTGTCCACAGAATTCATCTGGGAATTTAACTATATATATATATATATATATATATATATAGGGATGGGTAGGATAAAAAATGTTCATGCATGCACAGATACTTGCACGTACGTATAGATATATTTCTTCCACTGGTATTATAAATACAGTGCTCAATGTTATGAAACAGAGCTATGAGTATATATTAGTCAATATACATAATAGCCAATGTCGATAAAACTACTTGGAATTTTATGCAGTTAATGCAATCTTCAGGTGTGGAGATTCTGATGGAATTAACTGCATGAAATTTCGAGTAGTATTATTGACGTTGAATATTATGTATATTACTAATATATATATATATTACAATTCAGGAATGTACTAATATCTTACAAGAACATGCAAGGATTTGGGCAAATGTCAGGCATTGCAGCTAGAAAAGTGCAAGTCATTGATCTAGCAATCCAGCAATTTACATGTGATGACTGTGCCAGAGTATATCTCTCCACCGTAGGCCTCTTTAACCGCAAGAAAAGTCCAACTGCCACATTGTAAGCGTTCTGAAAGCAAAGGAAATGTTTGTAGCAGATTAATTCCACAACGCAAAGAACAAATCACTATAAGTTCAGACTTGAATATCGGGGGCAGAAAGAAATGCCGAAAACTCGTAACCAGTCAGGAAAATAACTCACTCTCCGACGAATGCGGTAGCCAAAATACATCAATTTTTCGATATTTATTGTGTTTTTATACACAATTGTGGCACAAGGCCGAAAAAGGAGAGGGGTTAAGGCTGGTCGTCACTAACTATCTTATACCTAGCTAATTCGATTCACGACACATTTACTCATTACAAATTGCCCATTCAGCATAAAAACTCGTCCGTCACCAATCAGTCCTCCATGCACCATAATACCGCATCCTCTCAAGGGGGACCTACAAAACGCGCCCCATGCCCTAAAAATTTAATGATAATAAATAATTATATTTAAAATCTATGATGAAAAAATGAGAGGGAAGGGAATGAGCCCCCAAACAAACTGAACATGAACACAAAGTGAACTAAACATAACTGATGTTAGTAGGGCCCGTCCAACCCTCAAAATGAGAGGCCGCTGTATTCTGTCCATTTGGACAAAATCAAGAAGCTCTCTCGCTAAGGGAGTAGAAAAAAGAGAAAATATAGACGGACATGGGAAATAAAAAGCTGGCCCAGTTGAGAAGTAAAAGGGGGTCAAAACAAACTGGGAGGTTGGGAATCTCGACTTGGTTCATAACCAAAGATGCAGCCGGGAACAGGCCAGGAACAACATTTACTCACATTAACTAGGTACACAAAGCTTGACTAACCTAACCAAGGGGAGGGCTCCACAGGAAACCACCCCGATTTGACATAGGTTGACCTAAAAGAGAAAATCAAGGCTAGCCCCGTTCAAACAAACCAAGCTCGCCTCAGTCACCCACCTTTCGCTGAAGACTGTCGAATGCAGGCGCATTCTATCAGTTCTAATCTTTATCTTGAGCTGATGCTTAAAGAATCGGATCAGCTAACCGAAAGCCGGACGACTTGTCGCGGT